AGTACAGTCTACATTCAAATTATTAATGGCTATTTGCAGCTGTTTTCATTTTGAGTTGCGTTCCATCAGCAGGTGAAGATACTGAAAGCTCTGTTCCAGCCAGGCCCTTATGGTCAACCCTACTTTGAAGTGGCAGCTCTTCCCCAGTTGTATTCCAACATGAAGGAGTCATCTTCCAGCACTGTGTCTGTTAGTATTCCTCTGCTCTATTCATAAGGTTTTCAGTGGCCAATTCCTAAAAATATAACAGCCTATTCCTTCTTGCTAGTCTTAAAGCTCTGCTGAAACCTGTTCACCTGAGTGACCCTCTTGGTGGTCGAAATACCAGTGGCTTAGCTTCTAACATTACAGCAACATACAGCCACCATAGTAAGACAAACTGATTGATGAATGAGGTCATTGGCCACGAGGGAAATGCAAATTGAAACCACAATGAATGACTACATACCTTGTAGAAGCTGACTAAAATAAAAGAATTTAGCAACAAAAGGTTGGTGAGGATGCAGAGAAACTGGATCACTCAGACATTGTTGGTGGGAAAGTAGAAGGTAGAGCTGCTGTGCAAAATAGCGTGGCAGTTTCTTTACAAATGAAACATGCAATTATCAAACTCACCTGTAGCAGATTTAAGGAACTGACTCACTCCCTTGGTCTGAAGGCCATGGATACATGAATTTCACATGTGAATAAATTGCATAAACCTAAATACACACACATACACACAGCTAAGCAAAACTGGAAATGTGGTGTCAATATCCAATTTTTTTATTCAAGTATTGCACTGTGATTTTAAAATATCTTATCATTGGGTAAAACTGCGTCTAGGACCAATAGAATCTCACTGACTGTGGGTCTATAATGTTCTCACAATTAAAAGTTTAATTAAATAACAAAACAATGAGAAACATGTAAGTGGAAAACAGTATGGGTTAGTTTATTGTGCCAACCTGGCTGATAAACACATGTGGGATTAATTGAAGGGTGGAGGGATAAATGGCTTGGTGAGCCATGCCTTTTTAGTTCTCGGGTCTCTTGCTTTGTGATGGTCACACCAGGGTGCAGCTGCCTTAGCAGTTCCCTGCTTCAGCTTGCAAGGCTGACTTCCTGCAAGACATCCCCAAGAAGCCGCATGGACCTACCCCGATGCAGCCCTGGGTGCTGGAGCAGCCGTGTGGAGACCCCTGCCAGCGCTGAGATGTTTACAGGTTCACTGACTCGGCTTTCCTCCTGCAGTCGGCGTCATTGCGTCTGCTTTGTGAGGTGGAGGAGGACTTTGTGGATTGGTGTTGGACATATGGGTTAATGTTGGACCTGTGGGCTTGGGCTGCACTGGGTTGGGATGTTTTCTTGATGCACAGTTAAGCTTTATATGAAACTCTCTCTTTTACATGTGTTTCTGTGGTTTTGTTTCTCTAAAGTATCCAGACTAATACATTATGGTACCTTGGGAGTGGGGTACTGGAGAAACAAAAGATACAGAGTAGATGTTTGTTTGACCTCTCCCTCCTGGAAGTTTTCCTTCTTTATCTAGGCAGAGGTCAGATAAAGCCACACTATTTACTCAGTTGCTTTTCTGGGGAATATATGGGAAGTAGGAAAATAGAAAGTTTGTAAGTCCACTTGCTTCCGTCATTAAAATTTGAGCTTTAAATGGGTTTAGGCCATGTCTGTAAAAAATCTTTGAAAATATATGCCCCACCCAGTGCTTTGGAGTACTAAGGAACCAGTAGTCTTTGTCAGACGCTGAAAAAAATCTGGAACCATGAAGAAAACTCCTCGCTGGGGCGGAATGTTAAAGGGAGCCTGTGAGCAGGCTGAAATGCTTGCTGGGTGGCCACCTGGATCTACTTGAGTGGAAGTGGGAGAAATGCAGCAATAAAGAGACAGGTTGAGTTTGGCTACTGACACCTGTGGACTTGGTTTACAGGAAAAAAAGAGATGAGAGCGGTTGACTGGTCTAAGGTTCATGACCTAGCCTGAGGGGCTAGGCTTGTTGAGTTGTTGAGAGCCCATGGTTTAAGGCAAGGCGACCAATGGGTGAGTTGACCAGAACCCGACCAGATGGCGATTTTTGAGCCTGTGAACTGGGTGCATATTGTTGCTGACTTCATGGATGGCCTGTCCGGATTTGACTTTGCTTATGGATGCAGACTTCACAAGGTTCCAACTGGAATGAAGACTCATGTCGAAAAATATGATTGTCTTCTCTGAGAAGACATGTAAGTGGGCAGTATATAAATTGGATACCCAAAATTGGGGGAGATAAAGGCATGAAGTGGTTGGCTTACAAACATTCATAGGTGGGGGAAACAATTCACAGGATTATAGGGTTGTGTAGGTGTTACTTAATTGCAATTGTGAAACTAAAGAATTATGTACAGGTGCCAGGTTGGAAAGGGGTGGATTGAGTTAGTTTATTGTGCCAACCTGGCCAATGAACACATGTGGGCTTAACTGAAGGGTGGAGAGATAAATGGCTTAGTGAGCCTTGCCTTTCTAGTTCTCGGGTCTCTTGCTTTGTGATGGTCGCACCAGGGTGCAGCTGCCTTAGCAGCTGGAGCACCCATGTGGAGACCCCTGCCAGCGCTGAGACATTTACACGTTCACTCACTTGGCTTTCCTCCTGCAGTTGGCATCATTGCATCTGCTTTGTGAGGTGGAGGAGGACTTTGTGGATTGGTATCGGACATATGGGCTAATGTTGGACTAGTGGGCTTGGGCTGCACTGGGTTGGGATGTTTTCTTGATGCACAGTTAAGCTTTATATAAAACTCTTTTACATGAGTTTTTGTGGGTTTGTTTCTCTAAAGTACCCAGACTAATACCCAGTAGGAAAGAAGGAAAAGAGAGAGAAATGGTACAGCTATTCATTCCCAACATTGTGTTAGTCTTTCATTTTCATTAACCTTATTCTTCCCAATAATTGTATGGAGTAGTATTAATCCCTCATTTTTCAGTACTACTTCCTCAATTTTTTTGTTTGAAGGAACTCTGGGTGGATAAAAACAATGCAAAGAAAGCTGTCTTCTCTTACAATTATTAGCATTGCTCCAACTCTGGAGAATGTTTTCCTGCTCACTTTTCTTTGAGATGTTAACCTTCATGAAGCTGTATGTCAGAGGACTAAAGTGAGCATACATAACTCTGCAAGGAGCAATACTTTAAAAGAGGATAAAATCTAAAGATAGGAAAACTCTAATTTTCTCAAACTGAGATGTCTTTTGAGTTGCTGTGTGAGGTGCCAGTGAGTCGGTTCCTATTCACAATAATCTAGAACAAAACACAACACGGTCCCACTCCACCCTCACAATTGTTGTGCTTGAGCCCATTGTTGCAGCACTGTGTCAGCCCAGCTTGTTGACGGTCATCTTCAGTTTTGTCCCTTTCCAGGGACTGGTCTCTCCTGAGAACATGTCCAAAGTACATGTGACCAAGTCTCACCATCCTTGCCTCTAAGGAGCTAGAATCTACTTCTTCCAAGACAGGTTAGTTTGTTCTTCTGGCAGTACTTTCAATATTCTTTGCCAACACAAGATAACCTACATATAGAAAGAAATACCTCTAAATATATTTTATTAAGGAAGAGCACTACTGATTTATTTTGGGGGATCAGCATTATCTCTCTACCAAAAAAAAAAAAAACTACAGCCCAATATCACCCATGAATATAAATACAAAACAATGACTAGTTTAGCACATGGAAGCTAACCTTATATAAAAAAGGATTCTAAATCATGACTACATAGGACTTTTCCCAGGAATGGAAGGTTGATAACATCTGAAACAAAATATTTTAATAGCTGAAGATCACTAAACTAACAGTTCTCCTAGCTTCTGAACAGTTTTCTTTTGCATTTTTTAATTCAGAATTTATTTTTAGGGGTATGTTGCCAGATGAGGGTAATTTTTTTTTTTTTGCAAAGAATTCTTTTTCTCAACATCATGAATTAAATCATTTGCCATTTTCTCATAGTTCCTTGTCATGTATTAATTAATTTGCATATTTGTTAGTACTTGTACCAGTATCATACTTTCAAATGTTTAAAAAACATACTTTTTTTAAAAAAAGCAACACTTTATTTGCATCCCTCCCTCACACCGTGGTGTTTTAAAATGAAAAAGCCTACACTTTTGTATAAAAAAAAAAAAACAAGGTTAAAATAAAATGAAAAAAAATGTTGGCCTAGTCGTTCGTGTGAAGTGAAAAGAAGTCAGGTATGGCAATAGAGTACGACCACTGAGGCTGATTGTCAATCCTTTACTGACGAGGGAAAAATAATTAGTATTTTTGTTGTACACGGACTAGGGCCTAAGGCAGATACTTGAATATGCCTTGCCTTAGTCCCACACACTCCTGTTTCATAAAGCTATAGGACAGAGCAGAGTTGGAATTGGAGGGGAGCCGGGGATGCAGAAAGAATAACAATGGCCACACAGATGCCAGTTAAACACGTTTAGTCTCTACAGCAAATCAGAAAGATGCCAGCCAAGTGACTGGCTGTTGACCCTGCTATGGACGCAGGTGAAAATGTTCAATTCTAAGGGAGTGAGTGACAATAATGTACACTCTGGGCCACAGGTACAGTGGGACAATCGAAAGGGAAGAGGGGTGGGGTATGTATGGCCCATTTTGCTACTTCTTGTCACACAAGCTAGAAAACCCTACCCCTCTCTCCTGAGGGCAAACCTATATCCCACCCATTTCCTTTCCTTGCCAATATCGTATATTCCCTCCGAAAAGAACTGAGGTCCTGGCTAGATGCTTCACTCCAGGATAAGGCTGAGCAGCCCTGGCACTAGACTGCCACGTAAAAAACATACTTTTAAGATCTACTTTATACCTGGAAAAGTTAAAAGTAAAATTTTAATATTTTCTCATTTTAACCCAGAAGATTATCCTGTATGGCCCATTTTGGAGACTACTGACCTCTATTGATTTTGTGAACTTAGAGAGTTTTCCTTCCAGTTAATGTTTAATATATTTGTATACATTTTTTCAGCATTAAGATCCATGACCTGGCAGAATTAAAAGACATGTATGCTATCATCAACCTGGACGATGAAAATAAAGGTATTGCTTTATCTAGAACAGATTGATACTTTATCATTCTAATTTCAGAAAGTACTGTTGTGTTTACAATTTGACTCACATTCGTTGTAAGAGGAAGATCATTAATACCCTTCCCTAGAGTGATATGACAGCCCGTTTTAGTGTCTATGCTGTCATGTTATGTGACTAGAATGATTGGAAAACGGCAACAAAAACTCACTGCCAATCATATCATTGCAAATGAGTGGGAGTGCGGAGTGGAGACCCAAAGCCCATCTGTAGGTAACTGGACATCCCCTTACAGAAGGGTCACGAGGAGAAGATGAGCCACTCAGGATGTAGAATTGCACCAGTGAAATGTACAACTTTCCTCTAGTTCTCTAATGCTTCCTCCCCACCCCACCCCTACTATCATGATCCCAATTCTACCTTACAAAACAATCCCAATTCTACCTTATAAATCTGGCAGACCAGAGGATGTACACTGGTACAGATAGGAACTGGAAACAGGGAATCCAGGACAGATAAACCCTGTAGGACCAATAATGAAAGTAATGAAACCAGGAGGGGAAAGGGAAGATGGGGTAGAAAGGGGGAACCAGTCACAAGGATCTACATATAATACCCTCCCTGGGGGATGGACAACAGAAAAGTGGGTGAAGGGAGACGTTGGACAGTGTATGACATGACAAAGTAATTTATGAATTATCAAAGGTTCATGAGGGGAAGGGGCACAGGGAGGGAGGGGGGAAATGAGCTGATACCAAGGGCTCAAGTAGAAAGGAAATGTTTTGAGAATGATGATGGCAACCAATGAACAAATGTGCTCAACACAATGGATGGATGGATGGATTGTGATAGGAGTTGTACGAGCCCCCAATAAAATGATTTTAAAAAGAAAAAGATCTCACTGTCATCCAGTTGATGCAGGATGATAAAAGTCCATTCTAATTCTAATGGTAAAATGTACACCTTGTCTGTGTTTCGTCACATGGCTTTCCCCGATGCCGTTACTAGTCTCACTGCCATCGGGTGGATGCCGACTCATAACGATTCTATGGGAAAAGGTAGAGTTCCCTGTGAGTTTCCAAGATTGTAACTTTTCACAGGGGTGGAAAGCCCTGTCTTTCACCCTCGCAGCAGCTGGTAGTTTTGAACTGCTGACCTTTCGCATCTCAGCCCAATGTGTGTAACCACTATGTCACCAGGGCTCCTTTTTACTAGTATAAAATACTGTTAAAACTGTGTACTGAAGACCACTTTTGAAGATTTTTATACCTGTCCTAGCTTAAATGACAACGTTTGCGTGCTTTCCTGCAGTGGTGATTTTGCTTTTGGATAATCGTGTCTCTTGTCAATCCCTTCAGGGTTGGACACCTTGGCCTGGACAGACGATGGTCAATTGCTGGCATTGTCCACCCAGAGGGGCTCACTCTACGTTTTCCTGACCAAGCTTCCCATCCTCGGGGATGCCTGCAGCACGAGGGTTGCTTACCTCACCTCGCTCCTTGAGGTCACTGTGGCCAACCACGTTGAAGGAGTAGGGAATTGTGCCATTGTGGTTTCATTTCTGAACACACTCCAAACACGTGTAGCATCGGATTTACTGCTGTTACTTCTCTGTGTTCTAGGAGCTGCCAATCACAGTCTCTGTGGACGTGGAACCCAACTTTGTAGCCGTCGGTCTCTACCATCTGGCAGCGGGAATGAATAACCGAGCTTGGTTTTACGTCCTTGGAGAGAAAGGCAAGTCTAATTCCAGTTGTATCCTTCCCTTTGCATTCTCTGTCGTTATTTGGGAAGCAACGGGCATTATTTTTAAGACCAGGAAACTTGATTAGGGTTAGGGAAGGTCTTCCTTTTGGTGCAGACAGCATTTTGCTTAAGGGTTTTGTGAAACTTCTAAATAATTTGCATCATTTTGGAAAAGGTTTTATTCTCCATCTTTGTTGTGAAGACTGTGTAGCTTAGGGGATAGCATATGAGCTTTAGAATTAGAGGTAGCCTGGGTTCAAACCCCACCTCTACGTCTGTGAGCTAAATGATTGTAGAGAAATTCTTTTGTTTTCTCTTCTGGAAACGTGAATATTTCCACTTTGCAAGCATCGTGATGAAGACTAAGTGAAATAAAATGTGGTCTCACTTTGCACGACTGTGTTACCCACTGCCATCGAGTCAATGCCAACGCAGAGTGAACCTATAGGGCAGAGTCTGTGTGAGTTTCTGAGACTAACTCTTTACAGGAGTAGAAAGTCTCGGCTTTTTTCCTCTGAGCAACTGGTGGCTTCAACCTGCTGATGTTGTAGTTAACAGCCCAACTCTTAACTACTCTGCCACCCAGGTGCCTATGTTAAGATACTGCTAAATAAGGTAGGTACCTAATAACTCTTGGTCTCTTTGTCCCCTAATTACTCTTTGAGCATTGACTGTTAGCATACAAAGGCATCCTTGCTCTTTCCTTCTCCCCTCTTGCTCTGTTCCCTAAATCCACTGCCGTCGAATCCGTGCCAACTTATAGCAACCCGATAAGACACGGTAGAATGGCTCCATGGTGTTTCCAAGACTAAATCGTTCAGAAAGAAGATGTTCTCCTAAGAAGCATCTGGGGATTCCAACTGGCAGCCTTTTTCAGTTAGTGACTGAGTACTTAACCACAGTATAACCAGGGTTTCTCTGCATCCTCACTGGGGACCACATCTGTCAGGAAGATAGCAAGCTTGAGAATGAGTCGGCTAATTACAGAACGCTATTAAGCTTCTTGTCCGTAGAGTGAACTTTTACTTTTTTGCCGATGATCTTTTTTTTTTTTTTTTAATTGTTTTATATAGCATTATGGGAGGGGCTTTGGTGATGTAATGAGCTACACATTGGCAGTTCAAAACCACCAGCTGCTCCTCAGGAGAAAGATGAGGCTATTTGCTCCTGGGAAACTTACAAGGGCAGTTCTACTGTCTGATAAGAGTCACTATGAGTCAGTCAGCTTGATGACAGAAAAAGAAAGCCCCCTCACGACTCACAGGGACTCTATAGTGAGACAGAGTAAAACTGCGCCCATGGGTTTCTGAGACTGCAAATCTTAATGGAAGCAGGTTTCATCTTTCTCCCTTGGAGCAGCTGGTGGTTTCGAACTGCTGACCTTGCAGTTAGCAGCCCAACTCATAACCCACTACACCACCAGGTCTCCTTAGCCCAAAGGCAGTGATGCCATGATGGAATACCTGAAGGCAAATTATATAGAGCAACTGAGGCTTTTCTCGGTGAAAATAAAGAAAGGTCAGACTATCCTTGCAAAAGCACACATTTTTTAAAATGTGCAAATCTTTATTAAGATAGTTTAATATTCACACATCGGTTTTTAAACCTACAGCTGTGAAAAAATTGAAGGATGTGGAGTACTTGGGCACCGTGGCCAGTATCTGCCTGCACTCTGACTATGCTGCTGCGCTTTGTGAGGGCAAAGTCCAGTTACATTTGGTAAGTCCATCTTTTATGTCCTCAGGGTCTGTTGGGAGGCTGGATGGTGCAAATGACTGAGCACTTGACTACTAACCAAATGATCGATGGTTTGAGCCCACTCATGGTGCCTCGGAAGACCGCACTCTCTGGGGAAGCTGCAGTCTGCCCACGTGGGCTCATTGGGAGTCAAAATAAATGTTGCAGCAACTAACAACAGCAACAATGGCTTGTTGAGTTAATAAATAATGACAGACAGCTTAATGTCTAATCGCCAAGAACTTTGGCCAGCCAGCGACTGCAGACTAGAAAGCCAGGCGTGGTTAAGGATGAACAAAACTCTCCCCTTCTGTGTAAGAATCATGTTCTATCATTTCCCAGCTCTCTCTTCAAGGAGTTTGAACCACCAAGGGCTCTGAGGGAGACAGATGGGGCAGTCTCCTCCCACAAATAGTTATGGTCCCAGAAACTCACAGGGGCAGTTCTACGCTGTCCTGCAGTGTCGCTCTGAGTCAGTTTTGACTGGGTGGCAGCAAGTTGTTCTCAAGGAAATCAGATAAAGTGTCACCTGCATTACTCACAACACGACATATGACAAACACGACACTGATAGGGAGATATCTGGAAGGTGCTAGAGGTGTGCTGTAAATAGGGGTGGGTCCCCTTCTCTTTGGCCGTCCTCGAATGTGTTGATTCTTAGGGATGTCACCTGTGGGACTCCTAGAAACTGTTCTTTACAGGTTGCTCAAGAGTTCACGGTGCTTATAAAGGGTGGGACTTGTAAACTAAGGCACGTCCCACATTCGTTCCTCAGTTCTTTCTACTCGGGAAGCCCAAAAGATTAGCTCCCACACAGGTTTGTAGCCCGGCAAGAAGACTGTTCCCACTAGGGAGGAAGGGCCGGTGCTGCTCTGCTGGGAAGCTGCTCTGAGATCCTTGTGGGTAGGCCTTTAAGTCTGAATGATTTAATGGCACTCGAGAACAAGACACCCCGGTTAGTATTGCAAACAAATGTACTCCAGTAAGAGAAAATGACCTTACGTCTCTGAACCGACGTTCTTTCTCTTCATTTTAGATAGAAAGTGAAATTTCAGATGCTCAAGAAGAACGGGAGACTCGGCTCTTCCCAGCAGTGGATGAAAAGTGTCGGATTTTGTGCCATGCCTTAACTAGCGATTTCCTCATATATGGTACTGATGTATGTATCCTCCTCTGATTGCTTTCTCTTTTTAAACTCTTCAGTGTGGATTCTTTTTTTATTTTAATCATTTTATTGGGGACTCGTACAACTCATCACCATCCATCCATTGTATCAAGCATATTTGTACATTTGTTGTCATCATCATTCTCAACACATTTGCTTTCTACTGTAGACTTTTTCAGAGGCTTTGTGATTGAAATAGACATAATCCGGCTGTCTTCTGTTAAACTAGATATACAAAATTATAAAGCAATACCATTCTTATAAAAAAGATAGAGCTATTTATTATAAAATATGATATATGAGCACATGATTGACTTATGGTTACTTCTAGATTAAAAAATAAGTAAAAATTTTGTGAACTCTAATATGGTATGTACCAATAGATACAATTCACATAAACAACGTCTCTTGGGGATGCTCTTGACGTTTTATTTATTTTTAATTTTTATTTTTTTAACATTTTATTAGGGGCTTATACAACTGTTATCCCAATCCATACACACATCAATT